TATAAGTGTCAAAAGAAAAGTGAGGATTATTCGATCAGTGAATAATTAAAGATTATTGTACTACTTGTGGATTCCGAAAAAGGTTGGTAGTTTTGAGTATATAGGCGAACATTATAAATAGGTACAACAAAACACGCATATCCGTAAATGTGATCAACTCAAAAAAATTATTCATAACAGTAAATTTTGGTGCTAAAAAGAAAAAACATAATTAATACCCATCTCCATACGCTTCTGAACAAGTGTGAGTTGCATTTATACGAGTATAAACGGAAAAATATTTGATTATGCTCAAAAGAAAACTTTAGCGACAAAGTTATCACTTTAGGTTAAGCACTAATTGGGACATGTTCGGGTGCATGTGCTTTGTACCGATTTGTGACTACAGCTTCAAAACGAGAAAATGTATCCGCCAGTCACAAAATCCGTACGTTTGATATTTGATGTCTCGGTCACTAACCGAGACAGACGGGCGGTCACTAATAGGGTCAAATTGAAATCAGACAGTCACTAATGCGTTCATTTACATAGTTTACCATTTTTTAAAATATTTATTAGATTATGTTTAAAACTCAAATGAAATAAATTTTTCGATACAAAAATAATTAATCTTGTATTTGGTATAATTATTTTTTTATTTTGATCATTCTAGAATACTTTCTTTTTTTATTAATTTATGCGATTATTTTACATGGTCACAAATAAGGACATTTATCTTACCTCTCAGATTTCCTCAGATCTTCCACTCATACTTGATTCATTTTATAGCATTACAAACTATACTCTTTCCAGCAAGAGACCTATAGATAAGATGAAAACTTGTCCATTTTGAGTCAGGTCTCTCCTCACAGAATCCTTACAAAGCCCCCTTTATCCACAGCGTTGAACTGCTCGTGCAACGTGTCAATAACACTGGTTAAAGCAATATTCTCTCTCCCTCCCTCTCTCTCTCTCTCTCTCTCTCTCTCTCTCTCTCTCTCTCTCTCCATCCCACTATGCTGCCTCTATGTGCAGACTGTGGGTATTCTCTTGCTAGACAGGGACATACTTTTATTATTTATGATTATTTTACCTGGCAAGTTCCTTCTCCTAATCCTGTGGCTATGTAAACGTAATTGTCAGTAACGTCGCTAGTAGAGTCCGATCCGGAGAGTTCGACTCGTTTGCATTCAGTATTTTGAATAACCGATACTTCAGCGTATTTCAGTTTTTTTGATTCTCTCCACCCCATGACAAGACCATTTTTATTTGCAAAACTTTCATCTACCTGAGCGAGTTTTATGGGTTGAATAGTGTCTAACATGGAAAAATGTTACATTTGATCATTTCTTAAAATCAGGATTGCGGCATATTATTCGTAATATTCCCTTAGTAGAAGTTTAATAAATCGTAGTATTTTTTAGTAGGAAAAGTGCACCCAGTACCGGATACTGTCCTGTACCAGACAATATTAGTCCCCCCATACTGCCAATAGATAATTGCTTACGGTACCGATTTAAATATGTGTCTGTCTTTGTGAAACGTTAATTTTTCGGCTTCTTTGTTCAGCTAATTAAAAATTATTTATGAGTGACGGTGTATTGAGTGTTAGAATAGTGCTCTTTAGAACTTTATTTGTTTTACCTAGTAAGTTATTTAGTATTTATTTGTACTCATTTTATTTATCATTAATTGTAAGTAGAATAAATATATATTGTCACCGTCAAAATCCGAAATCTGTTAAAACTCAATCTTACTAGTTAGAACTAGTTTTAATAAATGAATTTTTCGTGAATACTAATATTATCTAGTTAATACTATAATTCACTAATTGTAAGTGATTTTAGGAAAAACTAGATTTGACTGAAAGAATTGTTATATTTTCAATTATTCATAATTTTTACTTGTTGAAACTAGTTTTGACTAAAATGGATTAGTTAAAAGTGTTTTTGCCTGTCCAGATCTGCACTTATATGAAAAACCTAGTTTTTCCGTCAGTTTCTTGAGAGTCGTCGAAAAGTACACATTCACTGATTGTTGTGTATGGTTAGAATACGATAATATTTTATCGTTTCGCCCCATAAACAGGGATATTCTCCGTTTTCTCTGAAACGGTGTGTCGCTCCAAGCTAGATTCTTTTTGTTGACTTGAGATTGTTGAGACTTTCCATTTGATATCACTTTCGAACCGGATTCGATCTATCTTTGAGAATAATCGTGGCACCAGCCTTCTATTTTTATTTTTATTTTAATACTTAGACGCTTATTTATTTACGTACTTTTCTTAAGAATATTGTTTTTATGCTCCAAACTTAAAAACAACTATATGCTAAAAGTAATCTCAATTTATTTTGTGTTTAAAACACTTATTACACGGTCGTAATATGTACATATATATACACACACACACACA